CCACATCCGCTCCTTGGCGGGCCCCGCCGCCGCGTTCTCGGCCGCGCCGGGAGAGTGCGACGAAAAGTTCTGTGAGAAGGCTTTTCTTGGAAGACGGGACGGATTTCGCTTTGGGGTCTAAGCCCGTGTGCGGAGGGGGCTGCCAGACTCCTCACTCCCTTCCCTCCCGCCCCGTCAAACAATGTAGATGTAGGTTTTTCCACCATTTAAGCACTGCGCTGGCTTGGGAAGGATTTAACCCTCCTCCACTTCCGTTAATTCCCGAGCTGTCGTTCCCGCATCGAGGGTCCGCAGAGATAACGGCGGCTTGGGCGGGGGAGTGCGGGTCTCGGCGGTGCCGGGCCGGGCTGCGGGGCAGGGCCGAGGAGGGGATGCAGGGCCCGGGCTGCGGGGCAGGGCCGAGGAGGGGATGCAGGCAGGGCTCGGCCTCCGGCAGCCTTTGGTCATTCAGCACAGTGACTTTTGTGCCAAGACAAAAGTGTTGGTGCAGAAATGACTGAAAGTTAATGTTTAGGCTGTTTTGGAAGGAGAGTGCGCCTACTCGAGTGTTTTGTGAAGTAATAAACTTTGTTGCTAAGCTATAAAATAGGTTTTATTATTGGCCATTGTCACTTTATCTGGGTAGCCAGTACGAGTGAAACTTGGGCTGTGTACTGGTGCCTGGCACTTATGTTGTGAAGGGTCTGTCAGCATTTCCATTATTAAACTTAGGTTTTGAAGGATTTATAACTTGGCTGCAGAAGTTTACTCCAGGCTGAACCTTGGCATGTACTCGTTCAGCCTAGGAGTTAATTTATTTTCCAAATACTCGCAAAATCATTCTGGCCGTTGCATTGCAAGACTGAAAAGAAAATAGAAAGGGGTGGGGTTGAGTTGCTTCTGTAGTTTTGCTGGCTGCTGACTTGCAGACCTTTACTAACATACTGAAATCCAGCGAGGAATAAGGTATACGTATAATTTTCTCTCAAGTTATGCAAATCTCACAGTTCCATTGTGCACAAATGTGAACTGGTACACGTTCAGCTAACACTGGGTACTGTGTCTTGTTAAATACAGTAACTGCAGTTAAATAGCCATCATGTTTGAAATGCACTTAACGTGTGTAACGTTCATACAGCTTGTACTTTTAAGCTTAACGTTATCTTGCTTGTGTATGTTACCCTTCATCTGCAATGCGTATTTAGATGGATCACTGTTCCTTGTGCCAGTTGGTGGTTCCCGAAACACAAACTTGAAGCTCAGCTGAAGCCAGAGTATAATTTGCTTCGTTATGGACTTTTAAAATAAAATTTTCCTTCTTTTCAGTCATGTCACAGAAATATTCTGCTTAACAGATAAGGTCTTTAAGTTTCTGTAATTCTCCCCATTTCTTGAGAATTAAAATACCTCCAATTCAATTAATTTGCAATTTGTGTATTTTATTGAAATACAAGCTGATTAGTTTCCAATGTAATATATGAAACTTCTCATGTGTTTGCACACAGATGTAGTGAAACAGAATTGTCAGTCTCCATAGGAGTAGGTAAATGGGGCCTCATGGATGGTGCAATACCTTGTGTAGAGAGGTGTGGCAAGAGCTGATACATGCATCTTATTATAGGTGTCCATGTTGTTCTGGTGTATCTATAAAATAAATTAATCGATAAATATATCTTTAAAAATTCAATATTGCTTTAATCCAGTTTCCAGAGGTGCTTTTTCTGTAGATGTGTATTTACTACTGGCCAAGAAGTTTATGCACTTAGGACTGGTAACTCTGGTGAATGGTTTTGTGAGTCACCTCTGAATGACTGGTTGAACAGTCAGCTGCAGCTTTGCTTTGGACAGCTAAAGCATGGGCAGACTCTTTATAAGCTCCTGATACCCTTAACGTGCAGTTTGTGTGTGGGTTAGGAAATTTTGTGGTCAGTCTTGTTGTATAGGCTTTTTTAAAGTGTTTGAGTTCAGGAGACCTCCTCCATTGGAACTTCCTGCAGTCAGCTGGCATTTTTTTGTTGCTTTTCTCTTTGTGTAATCACTTAACCCCGTGCAGAGGGTGTATGTGTGGGTGTCTGCACCCTCACACCCCCATTACAAAACGAGAATGGGAAGCTAACCCCACCAGTAGGAAGTAGGTGCGTTGGTAGTGGGTGAGTGCAGGCCAGTAACCAACCACGCCATACGCCGTGTGGGCCCTGCTGACTGTGAGCATGTTTTTTTCTTAACTCTGCACCAAGGAATAAGATCTTCAGTTTTCAAAGTAAAACTAAAGGCACTAAGCGCATGCTTATGGTTAATATTTCTTGACTTAACACAAGGGCTTTTGTAATGCTGTTTAACCAACCTACTTTGAGGCTCTCATGAACAGTAACAACTAGAAAGTAAGCAGAACTTTAGAATTAATAACTTGTGAATTTCTTCTGAAAGATTAATTTAAAATGAAATGTCTTCTGACAGCTGCATTTCTGGTGACATACAAGAATCTTAATAGGAATATTTTCACTCCTGGCAGGCTAGCACTGATGCAGGGACAGCAGGTGCCCTGACCCCTCAGCATGTCCGAGCTCATTCCTCTCCAGCATCACTGCAGCTGGGAGCTGTTTCTCCAGGGACACTTACACCCTCTGGAGTAGTGACTGGACCTGGAGCTCCATCCTCTCAGCATCTCCGCCAGTCTTCATTTGAGATCCCTGATGATGTACCTTTGCCACCAGGCTGGGAGATGGCTAAGACACCGTCGGGACAGAGATACTTTCTGAAGTAAGTAAAGCATGTTTTTAATTAGCTGTATGTCTGTTGGGTTTTTTTTGATTGGTTGTTGTCTTTTGTTGTTGCTGGGTTTAAGTGTTTGAATTTTAGTATATTTCAGTATGTTTAAAAAACTTTTTTGTAAAAACGATTTTAAGTACAAGATTCTACTACTTAAGTATTTCTCCCACCCTGCTGTTTCTGAATACTGCATAGTACTCTGAATCTTATCTAAATGTTAGCTGAATAGCATTATCCGTTATATTGTATACTAAAAATCAGTGAAATGTGCATAGTGATTTTTTAAACTCTGACTTCTGGTATTGTGGAATCTTGCCAGAGTACTCATGCAGGTCAAAATGCATTTTATCTCATTTTTATGATACAGATGTAAAAATACAGAGCAACTTTAGAAACTATAGTAGTGAGAATATATCAGGATTTTTATTTTCTTGAATAAGGACTATTGTAGAAGTATGCAATCAAAACATTTTTGCCTATTCTCTGCTTATGAGGAAATTAATATAGGCATTTGATTGCAGTATTTGGGTCTGTGGCTCTTAACTCATCTACATTCACTGCAGTGAAAGGGAAATTGCAGAACCTCTAATGTTGTTTCTTGTTCCTTCGGCTGTAGGTTTTTCACACAGTGAATTTAGTATCACCATTTCTATAACTGAAGAGGAGTCACACATGCCAGCCATCTGACATCTCTTCCATCAGGAGCATTTTCTTTTATGCTGCATAGTTTTCTGAAACAATAGGAGCCTGTCCTTCTTTCTGAAAGTGTGCCCACCAAGACTCGTAATTGGTCCTCAAATATTTTTACTATATTTTGAACATTATAGTTATCTGCAAGTCTCTAAGTAACCCATTATGTGTCATTTTCAGGGCCCAGAGAGGGCAGGGGCAACACTGTGTTATTTATGTAAAACTTGTTTCAGCCAAGAAAAACATGTTGGTTTTTTTTTAGCAAGAAAAGTATGCCTACTTTTCTTGCTAAAACGTTTGTCATTAATATGTGCATTTGATTGAAGTAGTTGAGTTTGTAGCTTCAAAAACAAATTTAGAACTTGTAGAGCTTCTTAAAACTGATTCTTGTTCCTACAGCAATGGGGTTACCATACAGAGAAATCAGGATCACTATTTTTTAACCAGAAAGAGTTTACAGCAATTGTCTGATGTTATTTAAACCCAAAGGTTACTTTTTGAAAACAATTGTTCTGTATTAGAAATACAGAAACGGGCATTAGCTATAGATCTTGAAGATGTGGTGGTTTTTTGGTGAAGTGTAACAAACAGCATATTCTAGAATGTGAAGACTTCATTGGGCACCAAGAGAACTTTTTTAATCTGTGTAAGTTTATGCCATTTGAGAACTGTAGCTCATTGGACCTTGAAGAAGGCACAGCCAGAGTTTTGAAATGAAAAGCAAACTTTGTTTTGACTGTGATAGAGAGAGCTCTTAACAAACAGCTTATAAAGCATGAAAAACATATTTAATTTTCAAGGTTTACTGTTACAAGTGTTTGTTTTTTATAGCGCTGTCAATTTTAAAGAAGGCAGGGTTGAAGAGATACAAAATGTCTTCATACTCTTTTAATTGAAATTTTTAAATTATGCTTATTCAGGTGAAATGAGAGTGTTAAGATTTGTTCTTGGAAAGCTTTTCTGCACAAAAAATCTTTTTACTTTTTTTCTACAAGTTTTCATGTCCTTTCTTGGTGTCCTGGTATCCATTTCAAAGGGTCAGGTTTCAGCAAGAACAATAAAGAGCCTGAGACTGGAAAGTACACACAAGTCTGGCAAACTCATCTGCATGAGCAAGATCGTTTGTTCTCAAGCAGACATCCAAAGTAAATGATTGAAAGAGCTGCTAGCTGTGAAGGATGAGTCTTGAAGGGGAAAGGAGTGGAAAGAAACCAGGTTGTTAGGAAAAAAAATAAAGGCTGTACTTTTTGAACCTCTCCCTGCTGGGTCACATGCTGACCTTGGGAGATTTTAAACAGCTTAATGGGCTGTTTTCTTTTGGCTTTCCTTGCGTAAGGCCGTGGTATGGGAGAGTCTAATGAGGACAGTTCTGAAAGCTCTGTTCACACTTGATGAACATTTGTTGTTCCTAAAATGTGGTCTAACACTACCTACAGGTGAGATCCACCAATTTAATTGGAGTTGATGAAGATTTTTAAAAAAACATTTCAAGTACTAGCGAAGTGTTTCTTTCATACGCTTAAGAAATCCAAATAAATCTAAGAATTGTAGCAAGTTGTTGATAAACTGCTTGCAAGAACTATTTCCTTTAGGAAAAATAATTACAAGACTTGTTTGCAGGACAATTGGTTGACTTTTCCTCACACTGCAAAATGAGAAGAGGTTTTACACAATTTTGGAAGCTTTTTTCAGTGTGGAGTGCTAAGTTCCATCTTATACCTACCAGCCCTTTATAAGTCTCATCTTGTCTAGTTATACCTTAAACGTTTGCTTGAAGCATACTAAGATTTCTGATGCTAAATACATTTAATGTAGTTCCTTCTACCATATACATTAATTTTTTTTGTTGGATTGGCTGCATTGCCTTTTTTTTCCATTTGCTCTGTTCTGTAGCTGCTCCATGAGCAGTCTGGTAATCAGGCTTCAGAAAGATCTTTGCAAAATAGGTAACAGTATCAGATTTTTTTCCAGATGTTGGTAAGTCTTATGGCTATAGTTATCATAGTATACTGCAGTGCAAACAGAATCATATGAAATTGAGTACTGTACTTAATACAGGCTGGAATATAGTCATTTCCACAAATCAAAGGGTCAGGCACTGCAAGGGTAGTAGTTTGTGCAAAAAAATGAAAATAGTGTGTGTGGGAGAGAGAATACTTGTCTTTCTATATAGATACATGAGCAAGTGTTATTTGTCCAGATATTTTATATACACACCACATAGGTATCCATACATATTAGAGGAGGGTGAGAGTGGTAGTGTAGAGTCTGAGCCAGAACTACTTCTGTAAAGCAGTCTGTCATCTAGATAAACAGACCCCTTTATATATGAATGCCCAGCATATATGATCTGCCAGAAATCCATTCATTAATGTTAATCTCAATTATGAGTAGGACTCCTAAGTGTAGTTTTCCATTAGTGAAAACACAGATAATTTTGGCCAATGAGTTGAGGCAAGCTTACTGTACAGCTGGTAAAACTAATACTATTTTTTAATTGAAACTGGTTCTTAAATAGAACTCCTAAGCTAAGACTTGCCCGGTTGGTAAGTGGTCATGTCTGAGTCATCTCAGCCCTGCAGTGCTGTACTCCAGAGCCTGGGCGTCAGCGCGCAGTGAAAAGGACTCGGTTTGTGTGGAGATGTCAACTGCATCACTTTTTAACCGCTTCCTGTTAGCCAGCTGCTGGTTGACATTTCAGTGAACTATGGAGAAAGATAGTGGATTGCTCTCTAGGCAAAAGATAATATTCCATGGGAATAGCAGACAACAACTTGCAGAAAGAAAATGTACCTTTTACTCAATTTTAGAATTACTCTTACGTTGTTTTAACTTAGTGTTATGCTTTTAATTCTTACAAAGCTTGTGTAGTACCTCTTCTCATCTTGTCGTGTGAGGAGAAGTTAACTGATGGTCCTGCAAACAAGTCTTGTAATTCTTTTTCCTAGAGGAAGTAGTTCTTGCAAGCAGTTTATCAACAACTTCCTATTTTTTTCTGTGAAGTGTTGAATGACTTCCTGAAGGAGGCCAAGGTGGTTTTCATTAGTGTCTGTGGGTACGTTTGAGGTATTTACCCATCTGGAAGAAGCCTTAAAAACTGATTGTTGTTATACATTTCTTATGTACTTTATCTGGAGGTACGGCTTTGGATGTTAAGAAACTGTTCTAAGATAGCAGGGAAGTTTGTTGCTGTGATTTCTTCTTTTTTTTTTTTTTTTCTTGTGTCACACATGAAAAATATCCAGCAATGCTGCTTAATTTCACATCCTGCTTTTACCTCTGACCGAAGCCACCCACGACACCAATATCACCTGTTTCCATCATCCTCTTCTGCCAATCCTGCCAAAGCAATCTTAATTTTTCAGGGCAGATGATATTTATTGGAAAAAACTGTTCCCACAGTTGCATATTTTACTGAATAACTTACTTTACTGAGGAAATGCATATTCAGAATCATCAGTTAATGTGAGTTCTTGTGTTTCTAGTTCAGGCTAGTTTGTCATTAAAAGAGCTATGTTGTTGAAACCTAAAAAGTGCTGCCACTGCTTTTGAACGGTGTGTCCACCTTTTCATGCTTTTTATACTGTAAAATAGTCACAGATTTTTTTGTTTGCTAATTTTTGTATGTGATATGTCAAATTAATTTCATTTTTATCTTGATAATTTCTGAGTTTTTATTGAAGTACTCATAAAATTGTTGATCTAACAAAAGACCCCATACAGTTTATGCAGGGGAAAATGGGCACTGTCGGTTTCAGAACATAGTTGGAGGAAAGAGATCTTAGTTAAAATGCTTTTAAAGTAAAACTTGATGTTGTATGTTTTTGGCAACTTAAAATTTCTTGTCTTGGAAGACAGTCATAGTACTACTTAAGTGTATATATTTTTTTCTACCTCTTACTGGGAAAGACTGATACAAACTTTTGAATTTGCAGTTGCACTGAGGATTTCCATATCTTTAAAAGGAAGGAGGAACAGTAAGGGCAAACCTGCCTTATTTGTGTAAGACTGAGTTGGGAGGAGGATGAAAGTGCATCTTCAGCCCTCTGAACTCGGAGAACTTGCAGCCAGCTTAGTGGGTGGGCATCAGTGAAAGCAGTGGGAGAGGGTGCATTTCACAGGGTGCTTTACTTGTATTTAGTTTTGCTTTGCTTAAGAAAAATTGCAAATAATGATATCTATTAATTCAATGCACTTCCATAAAAGGTAATTTTAGAAGACTATTCCAAAAATAGTTTAATAGATGTGATTTCAGGTAAACAAAAAATATACCCTGTGGGTTTGGTAACGTATTTTCCTTT